AGGCGGGCGGCGGGCAGGGTGGGGCCGGGGGGTGGCCCGGCTGGGGGCCCCACCTCTCCCGGCAGCTACCTCCTGGAGCCCCAGCCCTACCTCAAGGCCTCGGGGCTGCCCCCGCCTCCACTGTATCCTCACTTACAGCCAGCGCCTGGGGGACCCCAGTACCTCATGCCCTACTTCCTACCAGAGGGACCCAGGCCCGACGCCCTGGGCTTTGTGGGGGACGGGGGGACCCCCACCTTTGTGGAGCTGCCCCCGGCCCTGGTCAAGGAAGGCCCAGCCTTGCAGCCTCCCAAGGAGGGCAAGATGCCGCAGCTGCTGATCACGCTACCCAGCGAGCCCCCGGGCCCCGCCGCCGCCTACGGGCACGTCCAGGGCCGCCTCAGCCAGTTCCCCGGGCCCGAGGCGGCCCCACGCCCCATAGAGGCTCAGGCCTTCCACGCCAAGGAGCTGCAGGGCGGTGGGGCCAACCCAGACCTGGGGTTCCCTCCGGGCTGCAGCCAGCTCAAGGCGGCTGAGGCTGAGGACGCGGCCCCCCTGGGCGCGGGGGAGGCCAGAGCCCCAGAGGCGGCCCGGGCCTTGGCGCTGCCCGACAAGGTGCTCCTGGAAGACGCCATGAAGCTCTTCGACTGCCTGCCGGGTGCCGTGGAGCCCGAGGGTGCCCTGAGCAAGCCCCCCAGGTGCATTCTTCATACACATCCCCGAACTGTGTGCCCTCCTCTCCCGCAGCTCGATTCTGATCTGTCTCATGTGGGTGCATCCCATAAGTGAAATAAGTGTTGTGTATGCACCTTGGTAATGAGAAGCTTAGAAACATAGTTTTTTTTACTGAATTCTGGACGGAGAAGACAAGCTATGCTATGTAAGAAAATATCAAAATGTGGAGAGTGATTTAATTATTTTAGACTGTCAGAAATGACAGATGCCCCCTGTAACTTTTTAACTTTTTCCTAATGCTTGACTTTCCCCTCCTAGGTGATCTCCTGAGCCTTTTTGTTCTATTTTTATATAAGGTTTTAAATTTAATTTATTTATGCCATCGGAGAGAGACAAAAAGAGAAAGAGAGAGAGGTACCCTTAACAAGGTCCTCATGTCCCCATCCATCTGCAGCCTCAGCTAGCCTGCGTCATAGGCACTCACATACCCAACATGCACAGGGACATCCAGGGATGCAAACCTAGGGCCTTCCCACATGCTAGAGGTTGTGTGTGTGTGTGTGTGTGTGTATGTGTGTGTGTGTTTTGAAACAAGGTTTCCCTGTGTCATGTTCCTCCTGTTTCAGCCTCCTGAGTAGCTGGAACCCCAGTGCTGCACCATCGCACCCAGCCACACGGAAAGCCTGGATTTCCGTGTGGCTGTGGCCTGCATCCAGCACACACTACTCCATTTGGGTCTCTGTGCTTGTTTAAACCTACATGTGGAGCTCTACATGGAAGTCCATTTAACTCCAATTTGCTAGCTTGGGCTCAGTACTTCTGTTTCAGTAGTATCAAAACCTATTTGTCACACATCATAAGAACGAACCAACTGAGTTTTGTTATTAATATCTTTAATCCTTGTCTTTTCTCAGCCTGTGGGGGCAAATCAGAATCTCTCTTGAGTGATGGTGGTTTTTCCCAGGGATACTCTGATATAGTCTCTGCTACAGAATTCCTGCTTTGTTGTCTATTCAAGCTCCTGTGAATTCACCTATCTTCCCTATGTCCCTCCACTTCATTCTTGATGATGCATGAGACGTCAGGTACCTTTGCCAGATGCCTTGCTTAAACCAAGATATGCAATGTCTACAGACATCCTCTGCTCTGTTAGCTTTGTAAACCTTGAAACAATATTCTTTATTTGGTACTATTTTTTCTCATATAATCTATGTCCATTCGTATTTGGTACTATTTTTCTCCTCTAATATACATCCATTCTTAGGGATCATTTCTTCCCCGTTTCAGTGCTCAAATGTCTGAATAAAAAAAGTGTCCTGGGGTTTTAGTAGTGATGCAAAATTTAACAATCTTTATGAGGTAGGCTTTATAGTCAGTTCATCTCTCATCTTCCATCTGTTTCTGGCTTCTCTGTAGCAGTAAAAACAAACAAAAATATAGGTGAGCAGGCAATGGCTCAGCGGTAGTACAACTAGACCCACATGGGAGATCATGGGTTCATATCCTGCATGCCAGGCACTCATGTATGTGTGCATGCCCACAATCTGGGCAGGCTGAGACTGCAGGTGGGTCGTGCTGTGAAGACTCTGTTGGGAGTGCTTCTTTCTCTTTTTTTCCCTCTCTCTCACAGAAGGAATAAATATGTAAACTTATAAAAAGACGCAAAATTCCAGAATCTCCAGTCTTACTACCTCATTACCTCACTGTTAACAGTCTTCAAACCACCTCCAGCTACTTACTTGTAGTAGGCGCTCCTCCCAGTATGTTTTCATTCCTAACAAGAACATTTTTATTTTCTAGCTTTGGTGTTTTTGTCTGTTTGGTTTTTGTTCTTTGTTTTTACTAGTGAGTACAGAGAGAGAAAGAGGGAAAGTTAGAAACACCCCCTACTCAAGGGGGATAATCACCCCGTAATCCCTTCTCTTCCATTTTTATATCCATTTCTAGTTTTAGGGATTTGGGGTATGCTTGGGTCCCCTTTACTCTGTTCTATTTCTTGGAACACACGCATGTGTCTTTGCTATAGGGTACATGCACTCCCCAGAGAGAGACACAGGGAGGGTGAGACGTCACCCTCAGGGGTGAGGGCCACACGGCCATCCCTTCTCTACGCTTCTCTCAGGAATCAAAAGTAGTTATGATTTTAACTTGTTGAGAGAGAAGTGAGAAAGCAAGCTGCCAGATTAGGGACTCGAACCGTGGATAGCTGTGCGGGAGTCCAGCGCCTTGACCACCACATCACCTGCCAGCCCCTTCTCAGGGTTTCTGTACACATACACCTGCAAACATGCCTGCTGTGTTTTTCCGGATGCTGGGTCCAGGACTCGAACTGCTAAGCTGGCCACGTGGCAGCCAGCCACCTTAACCTCCGTGCCAGCTGCTGGTTCCCCCCATCTTCTTTTTTACTGCTAGAAAGTGGGTGCTCCCCAGAGAGAGAGACAGAGAGAAACTACCCTCCAGTGGGGTGTAGTCACACTGCAGTCCCTCCTCCTGTGTGTCTCCACCCTGTCGGGATGACGGCCACTCGTATAATTATAGTAATTATTATATTTAACCTTATTTATTATTATTATTTTTGAATTTTACCAGAGAGAAACAGAAAGAGAGGGAGAGTGAGAAAGCAAGCCACCAGGTCTGGGACTCGAATGCTGTCGGCCCTGTGAGAGCCCAGTGCCCCTAACCAACGTGCCACCCGCCAGACCCCCAGCATGGGCGTATTTTTCACGCTGCTGGGCTGGGGCTGGGACTGAGCTCCTGGCTGTGTGGGGCCCGGCACCCGCAACCACCAGGCCACCCCCTCGCCACATCAGTTCCTGCCGTCCTCTGTGTCTGGCAGCTGTCACAGCTGTACCCCTTCCAGCCCCCAGGCCCGGACTCAGGCTGGAAGGGGTACACAGAGCCACCCGTGATGGCATGGAAGGGAGATGGGGAGCCACGGGCGTCCAGGAGGTGGGCGGAAAGTGGGGTAGATCAAGCACATTAGGTGTTCAGGAAAGATGGACCCCAGACGGCACTGCTGGGTGCAGGGTGGGTCCCTCACTCGCCCCCACCTCAGGGCCGCCCACCCTTGGGTACCCCACAGTGGGTCCCCCACCCAGGTTCCCTCACTTGCACATGCCTTTGGAAAGTGAGCTGTTACTCGACCAGAAGGGACAGATGATGGCTGACCATGACTTAAAGCTAGAGCAGGGAGATATCAGCAGATGGCCAAATGGTTATGTCGCTGGACTCCCACATAGTCGACTGCGGTTCGAGTCCTGGACCCAGCAGCTTAAAACTCACGCCGGGCATACGTGTTTGCCAAAGATCCCGAGAGGAGAATGGAGGAGAAGGGATTTTGGTTTGACCATCCCCTCTGGGGGGTGCTTTCTCGCTTTGTCTCTTGTCTCTGGCGAGCACATATTCGGTACAGCAAAAATCTCTCTTAAAAAAAAACGTGGAGCAGGGAAAAACACTTCCCCGTGGGGCTCCCTTTTCAAGAGGACACCTTGATCAACAGCGCACTGCGACGTGGCTTCAGCGCCCTCTCGGCACCCCGGGTGGGAAAGACCCAGCTCTCCGCGGGGAAGGGCCTGCCCTGCGGCGTCTGCCCACTCTCCTGGTGTAAATACCCCCACAGTGGCTTTCAGGCCGCCCCGTAGACGTGGGCTCATGGGGACGAGTTGAAACCACCTCAGTCCCAGCACCAGTCAGAGGAGACCAGGGACAGACACTCGGGCCCGGGGATCAGAGTGGCTGGTGGACCCCCGGCACCCAGTGTGGACTGGAAACAGGTGTTTCCTTAGCGAGTGAGCGAGTGTCACCGGAACGTGAGACACCCCTTTCCGGATGGTCTGGGGTGTACGCAGGGGCCTCCGAGGCAGCGGGAGAAGGGCTGACCCAGCTGACGCCTGGCTCCCTGTAGGGGAGGCGGCAGCTGCTCACCTGTAGGAGGGATCCACGACAGAAA